TTTTGATCAGAGTATCAAACACGGAATTTCGTCTTTTATTCCTTAATTAAAGCAGCCATGAACGTGATAAAAACGAAACATTGTGTGCTAAACTTCATGACTTACAAAAAGCGAACTATGCTCATCTTGAATATCTTGTATTCTTGAGGTTTTGCACTTTGAAGGAACTTCTTTATCTTCAAGAAAGAAAGAAAAATATTTCATGTAACCGCGAGTGAACTTACTATATGGACTGTGAAAACAAGAAACAGTACAATCGATTTTGTCGACACCCAGATGTTACAAACAAGTATTGCTGGCACTTAATTAGACCTCGCTCAAAGAAAGCTCCCTTCAAATCAGACAGTCGTTCATTGTTTACAAGATATATAAATAAAGGAAARTTATAGTAGCTTATAGTGCTTAGAAGAAGGTTATTCAGGGAGAAAGACTTAGAAATAAGTTCGGAAAAATTAGTTTCCGACCTCGCTGGGACTCGAACCCATGACCCTCGGATTCACCCCGATATGCTCCCAGTCCGRCCTTGTAGCTCAGCTGGTAGGACATCGGTAGTACAAATCCATCACAGCGAGGTCGGAAACTAATTTTTACTAATGTATTTCCGCTGGTCTTTCTTCCGGATTAACCTCTTTCTAAACACTGTAACTTTCCTTTATTTCTGCATCATGTATATCATAGTGCCATGCGGTCCTTATRCATTCATATCTTTACATTGTTTACAATAATCTTGTGCTCTATATTGGAAATTAAGAACCTTCTTTAAAATTTCAGGCTTAAATAGTAAATATGTGATATGAGTCATGCGCCTAACTAACTAACTAACTAACTGATGATGGGCGCTTAAAATCCAAATGTCAGCCTGAGAGGCTCTTACATTTTGGGTTCTTTTACGAGGGGGTTATACTGTATTYGTGGTGTCACTTAGCAGGAATCTACCATTTGCAAAAAAATATTATCGTTTCCATAGACATACCTTAGCTTTTATTCYTTTCTCTAACCTTTGATATCTAGACCGAGTTCTATCAGCCAAAGCTCGGTCAAACCTCTGATTTTTAAGGATGAACGTCAACTTGATTGCAACGAAATCTGTAAAGTGTGTTTTGAATGAATGTAGAAAACTTTAACATAATCAAACGATTCTTGTTTGTGTTTTTCGACGTCTTGTGCGTCTTAGCGTAAGCGAAAAATGACCATTTGGTAGACCGTATGTCACGACCTTTGTCAGTGAATTTTAAAGGACAAGTAGGGGATGGAAGATTTGTACACGATATTTAGGCGTCTTCAATCTTTTACAAAATTATGTAAAACTCCGTCTATGATTGTGTTACTACACAATCTCCACTCCTCTTTACAATGTTGTTCGTCAATGAATTGCAACGAAATCGACATGGATGAGGAACGGAACGTGTGCAACCTTGCTATGGGGAAATTAGGGGGGTGGGTGTTCCGTTTACTGTGCATAAGATTGCAGGCTTAGAAGAGGGAGGGCCAAGGAGTAAAAGAGAGCAGTGAAGTGCACTCCAGTCAATGAGGAATTTGAACTGTTAACAAGATTACAATTAATATCAATTTCTTACTTCGAGGCATGGTCGTGACATACACAGGTGTACTCCAAGGACCATTKCCATTTTCATTAAACTCCAAAACGGACAAGCTATAGTTGGTTAAAGGCTGAAGTTTTTGGATTTCAAAATACGTTGAGTTAGGACTCGTGGTATTTATAGTTACTTCTTGATCACCAACTTTATTGAACTGGATTCTGAATCCATATGGTGTGCCATGGACGAATGGTAGAGGGACGGGCTTCCATTCAAGAAATATTTTGTAAGGACCAGCAGAGGAAGCTACTGTTACCAAAGGAGCAAGACTTGGTGCTGAAAGTGAGAAAACGTTTTCGTTAGTCGATATTTTTTTATACCTTTTTTAAAACTTCGGGCGCTATCCCATGTTTGGGCAAAGTTGCTTGGACTTTTTGTCTGCAGTTCAAACACTCGAGGGTTTCCACGAGCTTGGAAAAACGTTGCTGCGTATTTTTGAGTATTTTTATTATGATTTGGATGATTGTGTTCCTTTTTAGTGCTCTCCTAACGCCATCATCTTGAAAGCTAGCTGAGCCTTTCCATCAAAGGGAGTTAGCAGTTAAGCCTGCAGATGGATACCTCTTCAGCCTCTTATTCACCTTCAAGATAATTATTCACTCTATACCATTGCAAGCTCAACCACCTTATCGCTTGGATTAATGGACTATAGAATTCGGCTACCCTACAAGATTTTGWTGGGGAATGAGAATAGAGGGCAAGAACAAGGGACATGGCCGTGATGACTATATGACATTAGTATAAACATACTAATGGTCTATCACTCATACTGCACTGTGATTGGCTACTCTACTAATGGTCTAATTTGTGATAGACCACTCGCGGGAAAATCAAAATAAATAAATTATGAATCATAAATTATTTTAAGGATATTTCAATTTGTTTTCATTATTTGACCGATTAGTATGTTTATACTAAAACAATTAGACCTCTCGTCCTCGTGGACTACGAGCTAATAGCCCATTCGGCCTCGCGGACTCGGCCTCATGGGCTATTAGCTCGTAGTCCACTCGACCTCGAAGTCTAATTGTTAATTAGTAATGCTATTACTTTTCATGTCAAGTTGGGCGAAGCAACTGCAGGACACGAGTAAAAAGATAAACGCTGAAATGAAAGAAGACAACAAAATGACAAGAGCAAGGTGCCAAGAGGAAAGGAAGTGAAATAATCTATAACAATGAAGAAAACCCCTCTCRACTCTCTCTAATTGTTTTGCCCGTTTCGGCATCTAGGCGCGCGTTCACTTGTTTTTGCATAGAAAATAAAATCTCGCGGCCATTTTTGAGCAAAACCTATTGAAATGGTATACTCACAATACGTTAAAGTTAACATGTGATTAATTACCTGGTGGAGGACACTTTTTTACTCCACAGTACTCCCAGCGTGTGGTTTTATTGGACGTATAACACCAAGGACCATTAGGTGCCTGTCCTCCTGGATTGCGGCACCAATTGGAAGCATTAACCAGTTCAGGATATTCAGCCAATGGATGATCGTGACGATGAGGACATTGTGATGACCACGCCTGACACACGTGACCTGAAATCGTCACACTGACATTGCCAAGGTAACCAAGTCCGTTTCCATAGAAACATTCTGGATAAATAGTAACATTACATAACATTGGATAATATAAGRTGGACATTGTTTATTTTTTTTGGAAGACTTAAGAGCCACTTCGCGCAAAAATCAGACATATCTTGGCAAGGCTCGAAAAATCAAATCTATTCATATTTTGTATATTGATAAGGTATGATTAGGTAACAATCGCTGTGTAAATTGGTTTTTGAAAATATTTCATTTTTCGCAAGAAAATCGCTAAACAATGTCACATACTGGGCCTTTGCGTGACAAATGTTTGATGGCTAAAAATAGCTCTCAAAATAGCCAAACTTTATACCGAGTTCATGTAAAAACTAAAATAGCTATTTTAAAAATTTAAATTGCAGCTTTCTCACTAACTCTTTAATATTTATTTCAGTGATTTTCAGACCATTTAATTAAAAGGAAAATTTTCTGGAACTCGAAATATTCGCATATGTATTTTTATATGCAAATTAGTATCTTTACAAAACGATCATTTTTTAAACGTGCAAGTATTTTGTTTGCAATAAAATTCGGAGTGATTACTAAACAAGAGATGAGCTTTTCAAATACATAAAAATTAGTCTGGGCAAATCACTCTCAGTTGYATAGAAATGAATACTTCTGGYGATAATAATCCGTTGAAACACCAAATGTTTTAAACAACCGAAATTCATTTACATTGCCTAAARTGTTCAAAGAAAATATGCTTAACCCTTTTTATTTCAATAACATACGTTTAATGTTGATTAGATGTTTATATCCTTTGAAAATTGTTGGGTTAATACAACTGACAAAATATGTCAGACTCGTAACATGGTATATGGGCTCAGGGCTCATTGCTCAAATGGCCGGGCTCAATTCCGAAATCTTGGTTGGGCTCTGGGCTCAAAGTGTTAGGCTCACGGCTCAAGAGAAAAAAATCGGGATACTATAATAATAATGCATTTAATTTGAGTTAAAATCATTTTTAATTGTTCTGTAAAAGAAGTATCTAAAAAGCACTAATTTAAACTGCGGAATATTCGGAAAAGCATCGTTTCCGAAGTAGTTCCGAATACCGATGAGATTCGTGCACATGTTCCGGGCAGTCAGGTAATTCGATCCCATCTTTAGGTGGCGTGGTCGTTCTGGAATATCTGAAAATKAAGTCTTTCTTTTCTTCTAATTTTTCCTGCGTTGCCATCAAACGAGGTAAAACAGGTTTTTGGCAATTTTCTCAGTTATCAGTTAAATTTCTCGGTTCTCAGTTAAGCCACATGTTAATTATTATTTTTGTGTAATGATTAACAACTAAATATTCAGTTATTAAGAAAAGTACGTTTTAACAGTGTTCTTTCAGGCTAAGAAAATTCCCCAAATGGTTCTTCAGATTTAATACTGAGCTTTGAACACTGTAGTCAATATTGGAACTCCGATAACTCTCTAAGTGTACCTCCTCCCCTTTTCTATAGTAGCAAACTAATACTTTTACCATGACTTTCATAACGATGATAGATGGCTTTGATCAAGTCAACTTTTTACAATGCATCAGTAGTTATATCTATGCCGTGACATAAAGTTGATATCACACGTGATAGCCAGACAGGGACCGCGCCGGGAGCGGTTGATTATGTGGGAGGCTGATGAGCGCCGAAAGCGCGACTTTTTAGGGGGGTACGGGGGCATTCCCCCCAGAAAATGTTGGAGTTTCAATCCTCGGAAATGCGATTTCCAACATTTCGAGAGAATCGAGAAGACACATAATGCATTAATTTTATGGAAATCATTTTGCGTGACTTAACAACGAAAAAAGTCATTTTTGATCGTTCGCACTAAGCGGTGGTACCTGCCAGAGTRTGTGGTAGCACATGCAAAGCGAGGAATTGTCTTCGGGGTCGTATCTTTTTTGGCGCCTGCATTCAGCGTTGTTCCAAACTAAACATCCAATGAGAGTCGGTGTCACGTGACCGCCATTTAAAAACAAAAACAAAAACAAAAAACAACAACAACAGAGAAGCCCTGGAAACAAGGTTCACTTACATGTAAAACATGTGCAAAAAAGGAATATTAGCTAACAGTTATCTCGTTAATATCAGTTGTCAGCTAAATAAACCCGAAATTCTCAGTTAACAGTTATTATTTTGCTCTTTACTCCGACGAAGGATTAACATCCGAAACGTCAGTAARWTTTTCCACATACTTTTTTACGGTGTTAAATTTATCTTTTTACATAACTGTTTCTTTAGAAACACCGACGCAGCTCACACTAGTTTACCGCTAGTTCCCACCAGTTATTATTTTAGCCGTTTCTCAGTTAACAGTTTACCCCATTCAGACCCTGATTCAATTCCTCCTAATTCGAGCCATGACACTACTTGTGTTATTATGCATATTTTTTTGTCATACTGTATAAGGAGACCTCCTTCGGTTTTAGCTAAGATCTTTTGAACACTATTCAAAGCAATTCTTAAGCAAACAACTTAAATGGGCTCAAAATGTTTGCACGGGCTCAAGGATCAAACATTTGGTGAGAATCGGGCTCAGGGATCAATATTTTCACCAAAAAATATCAAAAAAATAGGGCTCACTAGATCCTAGATATACCATGTTACGAGTCTGATATGTGTTTACACTGATAATTTTGACTGGAATAAGTCATTCCTACGCACCTGAAARWGATTTGCCCAGACTTATTATTATTTTTTTGTAAAGCTCATGCCTTGCTTAGTTATCACGCCGAATTTCATTGCAAACAAAATACTTGCACCTAGAAAAAATAATCTTTTTTTCTAGGTTCTAATTTGCATATAGAACTACATATGCAAACACTTAGAGTTCTAGAAAATTTTCTTTTTAATTAAATGCTCTGAAAATCAACGAAATAAATAAGAAAGAGTTACTTAGAAAGCCACAATTTAAATTTTTGAAATTACTATTTTACATTTCACACAAGCTCGGTAGAAAGTTTGGCTATTTCGAGTGCTATTTTTAGCCATCAAACATTTGTCACGCAAAGGCCCAGTATGTGACATTGTTTAGCGATTTTCTTGCGAAAAATGAAATATTTTCAAAAACCAATTTACACAGCGATTGTTACCTAATCATACCTTATCAATATACAAAATATGAATAGATTTGATTTTTCGAGCCTTGCCAAGATATGTCTGATTTTTGCGCGAAGTGGCTCTTAATAAAATGAGATGCACAGCCAATGAGCAAATTACCTGAAGATTGAAGTTTATCCGTTTCAGCTGAAAAACAAACAGAAAGATATTTAATAAAAATATTATAAGATTTTTAAATCTTTTAAAAAGTGCTACTCGCATGAAAACGTACCAATTTCAAAACTTTACTTGATCTCAACTTTCAGACTTTCCAATGTTTGTCAATTTCCATTTAAGTAAGGCTAACTATCTTTATTGGTTTTCAATGATTAAAGTCAATGCAGTAATTTTAATTACAAATGCTTGTATAACAACTTACTATTCAAATGCCTGGGATAGTAACATTTTGGAGACGCTCCACCATTTCTTGCAGGGAAAATCGTACAGTTCAGAATATCCCATTCAAATGGATAATTAATTGCATGGATCCTTCTGTTGACTTCTTTTGCAATTTGCAATTCCCTGTCGCAAACCTTAACGATACATCAATATATTTCGTTGATAATATAGAAATAAAAGAAATGCRTAGTGCTTAATTAAAAGGAGTCTATTCCAGAGAAAAGACCCTTGGAAATAATAAATTCGGAAAAATTAATTTCCAACCTTACTGGGATTCGAACCCACGACCCTCGGATTTGTACTACCAGCTGAGCACCAACGTCAGACTGGTAACAGTTTGAGGTGAAATAGATGTTAGGTTTCGGTAATTAGAATATAAAGATAAAAATATGAGTGTCATGGGGTCCTCTTATTCTTGTTTCGTTAATGAATAAATTTGGAGCGCAATTGCAAAAAACGATGCGCGCAATAATTATTAAAAAACCTTATTGTTTCTTAAGTATGTATATAGAAGTAGGAACTAAGAAATGGAGATATAGAGAAACAAAGAATGAAATTTAAGGTGGATCATCATCTGAAAAATTCCAAATCAGATAATTAATATTCGACTCATGACTTTGGCTTCTTCCAAGCAATTTCCCTATTTCATTATGACGTCACAGTATGTTTACATCGGAAAACGATGCTCAAAAGCAGTGGAAATTTGGAACCATTTGTATTGTCTACAAAAGTAGAACTTCAATGAATCGTGTTTTGATACATGTCATGCATAAACGATTGTTCATGTACATTTTATTTGATATGCAGTCACTCTGATCCCTTCTGGCGACCATAATCCTTAGCGTTAAACAGTAAATGTTTTGATGTGACGTCATAATGAACTAGGGCAATTGACTTAAAAGTTGAACCGAACCTCTATGATATGACATTTTACGCAAGTAATTAGTGATCTAATGCTAATTAACCTATACGWCGTTTTCAAAACATTTCGATTGTTCAGAAGATTGGTCCGTTTTTTTTTTAAAAAAAATGTGTTTTCAAATAAACATGACACAATCTGGCCCAGTTTTCAAAAGTTATTGGAGCGGAAGTCCTTTTTGTACAATTTTAGCCATGTTATTTACTGTTCCAAGACTTCGGCCATGCACCCTACCATAACTGAAAAATTAGACTACATTCGCTTGTGTATATTGATTGTTTCCTCAACAGCGTGCATCGTACCTTAAACTTTTTCTCGCACGTTTTTCTGCAAATTTGCTGTTTTTTCACCATTGCTGTTGTGAAGTCGCATTTTGGGTAATAATGATGACAAAATACTTCATTTATGTAGGTTTCGCAGCTTTTTCGTAAACTTCCTCCTCCTGTGAATTTCAGATAGTTTTCAAGCACTTTTACAGCAAATTTAAATCTTTCCATATTGCCATCATGTTCTATTTGCTGCTGTCGATCACTCATAACTGGCCATTTGACTATGTGTCTACAGTATCCTTTGTTTGGTAATTGATAAGGGATGCAGTTCCTTGAGATCTCTGCAGTTGCGACTTTAGGCTGTGCAGGTGAACATCTAGTAACACATATAGACACAAAGTTAGTTAGTGAGTTAGGGAGGTGTTTTTAGAGGTAAATAACATTTCAATTTTTTTTTATTTGTATTTCAGTTTATGCAACTTTGCTCGCAGCCTACGTGCAAGATACCGTGGACCAGGTAGATCGTGAAAGCCGGACCGCGCACTAGCCAAATCACTGTGCGCGAACGACTAGGATACCGGATCAAAAAATTTATTACATCATCAGAGCAAAATGTTCACACTATAGACTGATACTGGTACTGATAGATACATGTGAATTTTAGTTCAAAAAAATGTTTGATAAAGTTTTAGTTTTTGTTCATTTTTTTTAAGATTTGAAATCAGACAATTTTTCCAGCGGATAACTAAGCAAAGAATACGGAATTTTATCGTAAAACGAAATTAAGTGCAGCTGCTTGGCTTTACTGTGTAGTGGTAGTATATTAGAAAGATTACTGATCTATCAAATTAACAGAWWTATGCATGGCGTTTGGCAAATTCTATTCTGTTTTTTGACTGAAAAGAAATACAAAACAATCAAATAACTTCTAAGAAGAAGAATTCTGTTAATGGTAACAGTGTTCATTCTGTGTTATTCAGTGTTCACGGCCTGGATTGGAAAACTCATTTTAATCTATTTAATTAGTTCATAGTCACTTGAAAAGCCCTAGAAAATCTGGATAAATGCTAAGCACTAACGAAATAAACGCCAAAATCACGTACTAACATTTTGATTTGCGCCATCTCCAGTTCATCCGATACATAGAGAATATTACACGACGGCAAGAAGATATGAATTTTATTTTCGAGTAGTGGGAAGAATATTCTATTCGTGAGCGCAGCGAAATAGCTTTTTTCTCAAATATTCTCTGAGGATCTTGAGCAAAGAACACTATTATTAAGATCAAAATAAATGAGAAACGCAGTAAATGTTTCTGAAAAAATTCAATTTTGAAGATTGCGATTTTATGTCTAATCAAAAAATGATGAAAAAATCTAGATTTAAATTACAGCGAGAGGTTACGGGATGTCTATAGTTAGGTTGATAGGAACTGATCATGTGAATTTTACTTTAAAGCATTCGAGTCGAGTCAACAAAAATTCTCTTTTTTTTATTATGATTAAGAAGAAATTTTCCAACAGTTTATTTCGAAGAAAAGAATACGGCATTTTGTTTAAACGAGGTTAAGTACGACTGCTRCTTCGCTTTGCTCTTACTGGTAATTTACACGTGATTGAAAAAAAATTGTATCTTTTATATCAAGAACTTGCAACTCTACGCATTAATATATTTTTCTACTTATTAAACCTTATCCAGATTGTTGTAATTGAAAGTAATCAATGGTAAATATACCAAACATATATTTCAAAATAAATATGTAATTTTTTTAAAAAATGTCGTTTTTGGACTAAAAAGTTTTTTAATGCCGTACTAAGAGCTTCCTGTTAAATGAACGATGGCATATTGAACAGATTAGAAGTTAACAATATACTCGTTAGCAGTTTTCCAGTTGAGTGTTAGTTCCTTACGAAAGTCTAACAATTTTTAAGTACGTTAAATTGCAAAGTTATTAATTAAAAAAGACAGGAAATGCATGCAGAGACATAATTTCAGCAGAATCTAGTGTTTATCGGTGAATTAGGTCCATTTAGGTTTTAAAAAGGATGGTGAAATAATTATAACTTTACCTGAACTAAAGGCAGTTTTGATGGAGACATGGCATTTAATTAATGAAAGCACTTTAAGCTTAAATGAAATAATGAAAATGTTGGAAACTACAAAAACTACTGAGCCGTTGTTGTAAGTGCATTTTGGACGACTAAAATCAAAGTACACACGGAAGATGTGACCAAAAACACGATAGCAAACATGTCGCCGGCGAACAGCACATCAAGCTACTCGCCTTCTTCAGAGGTTCTCAGTATTTGTCGATCATTGGGTGAGCTTAATAATCCCAGTAAAGCAACATCAACGTCTATTACTACTTCTCTTTCTGCTATCATCACAGCTGCCTTGACATTTCCGTTGGCTGCCTTTCTCAATGCTTTGATCCTTGTGGCGTTTTACAAGAATTCAACTTTGAGAAAACGAGCAAATGTATTTCTTATGGCATTGGCTTTAACTGATTTGATCAGAGCTGTGCTGGCATYTCCCTTCTTCTTAGTCAAAGAGACTCTTTACCAAAAGAAGCATGAACCCAGCTGTTTTGTGATGTTGGTTTTTTTTAACACCAAACTGTTTGTCTCAAGTGATTTGCTATTAACAGCATTGAACGTTGAACGTTTTATCGGCCTGAGATATGCAATATGGCATCGAGTACATGTTACAAAATCTTCCCTTGTTAAGGTTGCTGTCGTTTGTGGCGTCCTTGGCGGTTGTGTTAACCTTGCGCGAACCTTTACAGAAAAAGCACAGATTCCTATTGTTCTCATTTTCCTCTGCACTTCTATTGCAACGTACCTGTTTGCCGTTTTGATTTGGAGAGACATCAAAAAGAGAAATGAGCCTCAAGTTTGTCCTCAACCTGGACAAGTAGACCAATCCGTTGCTAAAGCAAGAAATTCTCCACAAGTTCAAAGACAGCCCGCTGTCCAAGACTTTCAAAATGAGCAAGCTCGACGTCTGAATGTTCCCCAGGAAGTCACCGTTTCTCGGTATAATTCCATCTTAAAGCGAGGAAAATCAAGGAAAGATCAGGAACAAGGCCATTTACAGAGAGAGTATGAAGAATCAGCCGAATCTCAAGACAGAAGTAATCCAGATGATGCCGGTGAAGGAAATTCTTATCTGATATCTCTTTCAA